CTTAAACCAGTTCCTTTTTAACCCTTCTACATTTCCAAGTATTTTATGTCATGGTGCAACATACCTAAAACCTAAAGACGATAACACAAAAATCCATCAAAATACAGACCTATCAGGTGTTTACCTACAATATACAAAATAATAATTTCATGCATTACAAAAAACATATATCCATAGTATTTTAAATCTGACATTATCAACGAAGAACAAAAAATATGTGTTAAAAAATCCTTTGGTTGCAAAGAACAATAATTAATCATAGATTCCATTATCTGTGAATAAGCTCGAAAAGAAACAGGAACATAAATATATAAATATACTGTTTTTATTCATTGTAAGAAAGCTTACGATTCAGTCCCGCATTCCTGACTATGCAAAATTCTGGAACTAGGTATACAAAGTTGATCCTAAAGTATGTACTTTTTTCAAATGTTCAATGAGATTTTGGAAAACTTCAAATAACCTTAAATTATCAAATAATTCACAACGACTATGTACAGAATAATTCCGACTGTAATGGATTTGACTAGACTCTACTTCTTCCATTGTCTGGAATTCATTGACTGCTCCAATTTAAACAGCACGCGGCGCTTCTCGAAAGGTCGCCGTCACCGCTTCTAGGCTTGTCCTGGAGCAGCGATCGCGTCTTCTGCACATATTTTTCTCAGACTTTTAATTTTCGTAGTAATTTTTGCAGTAATTCTGCTCTTATGGTAGTCCGGTCGGTTGAGGACAAGCGTTCCGGGTGAATACAACAAAGAGAGGCTGCTGAAGTTTGGGATATGATATTGTCAAAAATTTGTCTCTACTAAATCTACACTATTCGTTGATCAGGGGGACGTGAGAGTAGTAAAACCTGAACCGCTCACACGATCAAATGTAAAGAGGAGTCGGAAAATAAATATTTGTTGACGCCAATTATTAATTTTTTAATCAGCAATTATATACACTGTTTCATAAGAAACAGATACAAAGAAAACAATTTCATCTATTTAAATCAGAAACAGATGTCGTATAATTGAAAATATACGATACTGAAAGCAAAATTTAATATCTGCTGACATGCAGTTTGCTCATGTTATTGTTGTTGATCTTTATCTGTGTTGATATATTTGATTATTATTGTTTGGTTTATGCATTGTTGCACTGATATCTATTTGTCAAAAAAGTGTGCCATATTCTGGAAACTGCATTTTATTTTGTTATTTTCTTGAAAAAATATAGGTTTCCTTATAAGGTTAAGTAACCTCTCCTGAAAGCTTATTTCATTTTTCATGTACTACTAAAGTTTAAAAAAGAAAACACTGATCCAAGAAAAAAATATTTTTTATATCTGCTTGACATAAGAAGTATTGGGTCATAATGGATTTTTTAAACACCGTTAGTTGAAGTAGTTAAAGTAGATAACAGATTTTACGTTTATCAAGAGTACCAAAAGATTGAGATTGAGCATTTATTAAGCTAACATTTTTTTCTTAACATTTTTAGTGGTTATTTTTTGTGTCGGGGTTTTTCAAGTATTAACATTTGTATACAGTGGAGTTAAATAGGAAGAACGAGCTGCCGCAAGTGTTAGATGCATAATTAATAAGAACGGATATACATATAATAGAAATAAATAGAAATCTATTTAGACATGAAACTAACCACTAAGGTACGAGACAAAAAATTATCACGGGGCAGAATTTTTGCCTAAATGTATTAAAAGAAAGTGAAGATATCTGGTTGATAAAGCAATCCTATTTTTAATTAATTTAATAAAACATTTTTACAGAAAACACAAAACTGAACGAAATTTATTGAAAATAAGTAATTTTGTTAACGGACTTATTGTGACAAATTATTATCACGCTTAAAAGGGAAATAACTAACTAACTAAATGAAAACGAATTTAATACCCTATGTATTTTCCACCTGCTTCTATGAGATTATAGACGCGTTGCTTCATAGAATTGACCAAATGGATAAAGTAATTGACGTCCAAATTCTCCCAAGTCGTCAAGATACCATCTTTCAGTTCATTAACTGTTGCGTACTGCTTTCCAAGAGAACCCCATACATTCTGAATAGGTTTGAGATCCGGGCTTTCAGCAGGCCATAGTAGCAAAGCTATATTTTGTCGTTGAAACCACGTTTTCGATGAATTAAACACATGAATCGACGCATAATCTTGCTGAAAAATCACTTTGCTGTCTTGAAATAGGTTCAAATGTGGTTTGAGGTGCACTTCCAACACATCTTGGTAATTCAAAGAGTCCATTTGATTTGAAATAAATGCTAAGTTAGTATTTCGTAAGCTACTAAAGCCACCCCAGACCATAGTATTGCCACCTCCTTGGACTCGTTTCGACAAGTATTTAGGTTCTTCCGTAAATCGTGCCAATAATTTCTAAAACCATCAAGACCATCAATATTAAATTTCTTTTTATTTGAAAAAACAGTCTGGAACCATTCTTCATTTTTCGTCTGCATTTCTCTGGCCCAACCACGACGTTTTTGAATATGCTCTTTTGTTAACATTGGTTATTTCTTATATTTGGCATATTTAACATTTTTGTCATTAGCCAGTACTCGCAAAACTGTTCTTTTGTGAACAGGAAGTCCTAGGATCGTCTTTATCCTTTGGAACGACATGTTATCCTTTGTAGCCAGAGTCACAATGGATCTTTTGGCACGTGCAGTGAGTTTTTCTTTTCTTCCACAATTTTGTCGTCCATTTTTATTGTATTTCTTCCTTACAAACTTGGAGATTGTGGTCCTATCTCTTTAAATTGTTCTTCCTATTTTCGCAAAAGTCAAACCTTGGTCATAGTATGCCTCAATCTGTCCTTTTTCACATTTTGTTAGATCGTTTTCTTTGCCCATGACGAAAGACAATTATTGTAGCTCGGTCAAATATATTTCGACACTTTAACAGTTGTAACAAACAATTACGTATCGTACAAATAAACAACAATTACGCATACTATGTTTTTCTATTTAATTTTTATACAAAAAGTGATGAGTGATAATTTTTTGTCTCAAAATTTCTTGACACAATTGAGTTTTCACAGATCAGAAATTATTTGATGCAAAAATATCACTGAAAAAAGCATTTTTGTATGCTAAATTAACTTCTACTGGGTGATTTATTTAATCAAAGGACTACATAATAAAAAATTCTTAAAAAATTGCACCGTGATAATTTTTTGTCTCGTACCTTATTATTATTGCAGCAGTTGGTCCAAATTGTGAAAATATTGACACGAACGATATATTCTGGGAAAATCTGACTCTTATCATCAAAAATAGTAATGGAATTATTTACGTAGCAGGAGATATGAAAATTCAAATTAACGGTAAAAGAGCCGGAGCAACATTTAAACAAATTATCACAGAAACAACTGAGGAAGCAAGTGGCACACTGAAAACAAACAACAAACAAAAACAAACAGCACGATGGACCCAAAATATAAACTACGATGTGAAAATTAAAAAGAATAATAGAACAAATATCTGAAACACAGAATAAGATTACAAAACACAAAAAATAAAAATCAAAAACATGATGAACGAAGAAAAAACAACAGCTAGACAAAGTTCGTAGAGACTATGGAAACTAACACCAAAGAAAATAAAATATTGTTTTATAAAGTTTTGAAATGTACAATAAAAGGAAATTAAGAGCAAAATGCTACTATAAAAAAAAACAAAGATGGCAAAATATTAACTAATGAGACTGCAATAATCGAACAACAGAAGGAACATTTGAAAGGATTATCAACCGAAGCAGCAGATGAAAACAAAGACGGATGTAAATCACCAAATGGATAATGAAGAAAAATCAAGAAGAAATAGACAACCACTAGTAAGTTACACACGAAGAATTGTAAGAAATATATAAATATGGGAGTAGTTATTAAGTTATTCAGTTTATGTATTAAAGGCTGGGAAGAAGAAACGATACCAAAAAATAGGAATCCTAACCCCCATATTTAAATCCGATGACACAAGAAATTACAGACTAAAATACATAGGTATATAGAACCCACTAGGCAAGCAAAACTAATGAATGTTTTGCATTCATAGATCTCGAAAAAAATCTGTAGATCGCACAGATTCAGAAATTAAATACCCAAAAGGAATAACTACATAGAAGTGATAGAATTAGAAACGTCGGAGAAAGATTAAATACGAAATCGATCCTAAAATATATAGAACAAAAACACCTGAGTTGGTGGGGACACTTACAAGAAATAGAAGGAACAATATCGATACGAAAGATACCTGGAACAAGACAATTGGAAATAATGAAAGTAAAAGGGGCAACACATTAAACTCAGCAACACAATTAGGCCAAACTCGGAAACAGTGGGAAAAATTTGTATATTTAAAATGTTTTACCTACACATCACAGTTTTGATATTTCAAGGTCACAGTGCGTCACTGTGAGGCCAATCAGTACCCATCATTTGAATGGCTGTTCAGAATTAAAGTCGACTCTCCAAACTTTGTTACATTTCACGATTTCTAATTGGAACTATTGTTTCAAGCTGTTGCTATGTAAGTTAGAATCTGTAACTAATGGCTTGCAACGCTTATGAAAAAAAAAATTGTTGACTTTAAAACTACACTGTATATAATTATTATATTTTTGTTTACAAATTTATTAAAACACCATAAAATTCTTTATAATAAAGATTTTTCCATGACACTATAGTGGCAATATTATTTTAAAACTAAAAAAAAAAAAATTGAGATAAGTAATTCTATCCAAAATTCCAAAGTAAAGGACTAAATTATTTCGGAATTTATTTTATGGCACAAAACTGCCAACATACAGACAGAAATGAACAATCTTTTCGTAATTTAGCGTTTCGGTAGGCCGATAAACCATCAAATTAGACATTTGTAAAAAATAAAATTATAAAACATAAAGATAAAATAAGACCCAGTTACATTACAAAAATATTATAATTGTCTTTAAACATAAACATTGTGGAAAATTTAGTGATTGTTTTATTGTCAGTCTGCGTATTTTTTATTTTAGAAGTATTCAATATTTTAACGAGGCGTACAGTATTTCAGTTTACAGTTTTATGTACATACAAAAATCAAATAATTATTTACACTTGGAATGAAAATAAGTTAATATAATTACTGAAAATATTATTTTCTAGGAACATAGGTTTTTACACCTGATTTATTCTGAAAAGCTTAATTTAGTAGAACAAGAATATTGCACATCATTTAAGAATGCTCACTATCTAAATTCGTCCAGACAATTAGAGTTGTAGGTTTATAACCACCGATTATTATGCTTTAGAGTAATGAGCCGTCAGCTTATCAAAATAAACGAAATGTAATTAATTGCTAGACTAAAATATAAAATCTTAAAATAACTCTGACAAAGTTCAGTACGTTATCTATTTTTTATATTGTTTAGGAAGGAATTAGTGTGTAATTAATTAATAAAAATCTTTTACAATTTTACATAATCTTTAGTATGCGAATGATTCAGTTGTTAAATATTTAGCAATTAAGTCGTCATGAATAATAACACAGTGTTGTTTTACAATTAATTGTTTTCAAATTAATGAATCACCACTATTACAAACCACTTAATTCATCATCTAGATTATAACCGAAAGCTACTTATACGTGGATAATTCTCAGTACTTTCAATGTTATCAACGCGATCTATAAAATAATAATTTAATTAAGTAACTCTTGTAATTTACAACACCCACTTCATAAACGATAAAACCATTCATTGACGAAAGCTTGATTTTGATCCACCACTCAAATTTCGTAATATTGTAGTATTAAAGGCGCAACAAATACAAATGAAGCCACCAAACTAACCAACACATTTTCTGCGGATGAACTGTCACTTAATTTAACCGATCTGTATGTCACTGCGTTGCATCCGTCTTCTTCGCACTCTGTACAATACACAGCTTCTGGGGGTGGCTTGAACATTTTTTTAAAACTAGGTTTCATCTCTTGGCAGCCGTTTTTGGGAAAACAGCCTGTTAACGCTCCATTAAGGCCTGAATAACGTAAAATAAAATAAATAGATACATAAACATTACGTCCTACCTGTTGCAGTGACAGTGTAACAGCATAACTCAATAGTGATGTTTCTTGCTGGAAGTCCTTGCTTTTTCCTGATCTCGTTTAACACATCTTGGCATTCTTTTAATTCATGTTTAATATCTTGTATTTTGACTGACTGTTTTGTGTAGTTAGATGCGTAACATTTCAAACAGAAACCTAAAAAAATGTAATAACACAAAGAAAGAAGGCTGAAATGAGTGATATATACGGAGATAAAAATATATTAACTGTTGTTTTAACAAACAGAACGATATATATCCTTTGGCGAAAGAAAACAGATAAAGTACAGAAAATATTTACACGCTACACAATAAGTGGTGTAATAAACTATAAACGACCGTGTAGTAAACTAAAATTTGGAATTATTTTTGTAAAATGGTGGTCAACACAGTGGACACTTTATGACGTAAATTACAGCTTGGGACAAGCTTGAAACATGACTTACGACATTGAAACTGTATTTTTTGTTAGTATTTTTTAAATCACAATCAATATTAAAAAAAAATATGTAACTACGTCTTAATTGGTGTTATGATCATCAAAAAGCTTACCATTTTTAATGGTAGTTAAGCACAGAATTAAAAAAACCAAGTATCTGGACATCTTCACCGGCACTAGTAGCAATAAGCTTGGATATTTCGGAACAACTCAGATTAGATTAGTGGTTTCCACCAAACACTTAAATGATGCACATATGGTATATTTTCTTCCAAATATGCTTCATATCCAGTAAATTTAATTAATCACTATTGGTTGTGATTGATCGCCAATGATAATAAAGATTAATCCTGTGAACACAATGATTTAGATAATGCGATAATTTTTATTTGACCACTTCTAAGAACATCTGGAACGAATATTGACTGAAAATTTGTTTTAGTTATTATGACGTGAAGGTTGTCGTCATTTACATTATAAGGAGTATATTAATAGGAAGTAAAGTAAACTCAGGCAGTATTTTGTATGTTAAAAATTTTATGAATGGACCCCATTAAATAGATTACTTCGTATTTATAGATTTTATGGACACTTTTGCTGTACTTAGTAATATCTGAATACTATTATTTATTATTCTGTCGGAGTGTCAATAAATATTTCGTTTGAGGCAAAATAATTATTAGCTTAATAATATTTACGAGTATAACCTTATTATTTACGACTCACTTAAATGAAGCTGTGCACCTACATGTGGTTAAAAAATATTATTTCAACTATTTCATCATGCCATCAGTATTGTTTGAAAAAGAATTTTCTTTAGTGTTATGAGCTCAGATGCTATGTTAAAACTGCAAACAGCTGCTCCTAATGATGAACGATTAAGTAAATTTATAAAAATAATCATATTTGATCTTTGACGTTTGACATTTGATTATAAATATTGTGAACGATAATTTGTCACGATTATTAATTTTTTTTTTTTTTTAACAAGGTATATTCTTAAAACAGCAGTATGACTGCTCGGCTTCAATCCCAAAATTTATAACTAAATATTTGTTACGTCAGTGTCGTGACTTACCCAAATTTTGTACTGTTTAAACACAACGAAACTTTGAAATTATGGTACACAAACTGAATTTAATTACAATTTCATTAGACCAGCTTCACACTGCACTAATTCGAGATTATCGTACAACTGATAATTTGATAAAATAATTACTGTGTTTTTACGATTAATAAAACCCATATCTTTCAATATGCACTTGAATTATCTCACCATTATTAATAATATCGGTTTACCTGAAAGAGTGGAACACATGTTGCAGTTCTTTCAAGTTGCTTGTTCTATATATTCCTTTTAATATCAGGATTAAAACTGAAGAGCTGTATATATTATATTATATGAAATTCTTGGAATTAACTACAACTTTTTTGTTGATTTATGGCCTGCTGTTGTGTATATTTACCCAACTTAATGAAATTAATAGTTTGTGAATTTCATAGGCGTGGTCCTGCATGGTTTTCAGCTAATAAATACTTCAATCAAACCTTCTTTGTATAAATAGAATAAAGATTCATGCATACAATAACATTTAATCAGTATTTCATACTAATTGGATGTATTTGATCAGAAAATATGCAACAATATTTATATGATAATTTTTCCCCTGTCGTTGACATATGCTAACGGCGTTATTAAATGTCGAAAAACAGTTGTTTGTAATGTAATCGATAAGGAGTTTTATAGAAGTGAGGGCGAAACAAAACATCTTCGCAAATGAGAAAAAGATGCTTTCATTGCGTGTCATGTAACATTTTTTCGAACGATGAAAAATTGAAGAGATAATTATTACACTGTTTGAGTCTTTCGATTAATGAGACGAGTAATCATGTTTCCACTAGTGAGGAAAATAAAACACGATTTTATTTTCAGGTGGTCATTGTTTTCGGCCTGATGGAAATATTCGAATAGAGGTATGTTAATACCGAGTCTGGTTTGAATCATGGTCGAGGGTTTTGGTAAAAATTTTATTTGTTTGAAAATATTTACATGAAGTTACAAAACGGGAGGAGTCTGGCAGTAAGGAAGGAAAATTTTAAATTTTGCCGAAAAAATAGCTCTGAATACAAAAATCAGTAGAAACGACACTTTTAAAAGTAGTTGAAATAAGTAAACTGTTGATGTTTAAACCCACTTGGGACTCTCATGTTTGATTTTGACAAATTCTAATCCTGGTAATTTTAATGTTTGTATTTATTATGATTGAAAATTTTCATATTCTGTGATATGTTGATTAATAATTCTACAAAATACTAGTCTATGATAAGAAGTGCATTAATTTTTTTTACATCACGTTACGTTACGTTTGATGTGTTTTAGTGCAGTGATTTGACTTTGATGCGTGTAGTTACGTTGTGTTGTTTTATTTTCATTAAAAATGTATGATGTTATGTGGACAACAGAATTCTTTGGAGATCAGCACGCCAGGAACAAAAATTTGGATTTAAAGGGTAAATGTTATTAGCTTTTATGTATTGGTTCATCATTCGTTGGACGTATCGTTTAAGGTATTTACTTTTTTAATTTAAATAGGTATAAATATTATATTGTCAAGTACTATTTAATAGTACTATGCAAATTTTCATTTTGAGGGATCTAATAGATCAAAAAAATACAATGAGATATTTGTATTGTAAAATTTTATTTTATTAGTTAGACTTTCTAAAATATGCGCTTATATGTGAACCCAAGAAGCATACATTTTTACAAAAGATCCATTTTTCAACACTCATTGCGATTTTGACTGTGCATATTTTTAATGGAAATATACGAAATATGCCCGAAATATGCAGATTGAATCGAAATATGAGAAAAATAGAAAAAATGGCAAAATATGCTAAATATATTAGAAAGAAGATGACGTCGCCTAAAAAATTTGTCTAATAACTTTTTCGTGAAATCATGCGTCGTTTTAATGTGTGTTTTCGTAACATGATTTTATTTTATATAATTATCTATAGCACACGGTATCTCAGAAAAATGATTTAATAAAAAAATCTTTGAATATCACAAATTTAATATACATAAAAATATTGTTACGTTGATCTTAATTAAACAAATCGACGTAGGCAAAACTCAACAATTTATTTCTTAATTACTCGAATTTACACGACTGATTACACAGCGATTATGTACAAAATAATTCCGGCGCAACTTCACTGGATTCGACTCGTTAACCGAATAATCCTCGTTCCCGACAGTGGCCTCTATTTAAACCCATACATATGTTCCTCTGGATAGAACGCGAACACCCGCTCCAAACTTGCGGCGTATGGGTTTATTTCATAGCAATATTGTACACTTCAAGTAACTCCAGCCCATTCCAGCCTGGATCCCACGTCGGGACACGGGCCTGGCCAAACCTCCCACGGTTTCCGACGACACCCGCGCTGACGTTGACGATGTCCCTCCCACTACGTTTGTTGCCCCCAATCTCACCTGCTCCCGCGTCGGGATCCAAACAAATCGATCACCCCCCCCCCCCCCCCCTTCACTTTCTACGACATCTCCGCTGTCGTCGACGAGCCGAACACCATGAAGACAGACATCCCTGCCTCTGACATGAGTCCGCCCCAGTCTGCTCCTCACAAGAGCAGAATTCCACCATCATTCTTCACGACAGCAGGAGGTGGCCAGAAGTCTTGTCCAGAGTGAGCCAGAAATCAATTCGCTTTTCCAAAGCAAAAAACTCGACATCGACAATTTTAGGAGTCTCACAAGACTCCTGCAACAAATAAAGGCCCAGGGTATCCCCATCAGCATCCCTAGCCAACACGTACTGCAAGACCCACAAAATTTTGCGGCCTCTCCATCAATGCCACCGCTGCCAGCACTTACACTATTCCCAGCGCCACTGCACAGCGGAACACCGTTGCGTCAAGTGCGGTGCCACTCATCAGATCAGCGAGTCAGCAAACAGCTCTCCAAACCCGCAAAATACGCAAACTGTGGTGATCCTCACACGGCCAACTACAAACGATGCCTTAAGTTTCCCAAAAGGCAGCCAAGTCCCCCAACGTTGCCCTCCAAGCAGCCCCCCGCACTGCCACCAACACTACCCCTCGCGCGGCCTCGCAACCCCCCCATCACCCCCGCCAAAAAGGTTTTCCTGACGGCTCGCCAAATCCATGGCAGATAAGCTGATGGCGTTCCTTCTTCTCCTTCAAAGTTAAATGGATAGTAACCAATTAATTTTGAATTCTTTTCAGATCCCCTTCTGGAACGCTTACAAGTCTCCAGTGCGGGCGTTATGAGCTCGGGGAGTTAATGAATGCCCACGAGTTAGGCGCCGTCCTCTTCTGTGAAACTTGACTTCAGCCGGGACACAGAAATCACAGAATACCAGGATCCACTCTGCACCGAACGTACCTACTGCCGTGACGGAGAAGAACGAGGAACTACCATCTACGTAAGAAACGAGATTAAACACTTTTTTCTTTGTTCCAGATTTCCGGCAGCTGGAGGCGACGACAGTGAAACTACAAGAGAGCCTTTGCGCCTCATTGCATGTTATGACACCAGCGCCACGATTCAAATTGAGGACATCTCAGACCTCACCAACGTCGACGAGGCCCACATAGCAATTGGTGACTTCAACGCCAAACAACGCAACCCGAACGGAAGGCGACTCCAAACCTTCCTCCAGAGCAGCGCCGATGTGGACGTCATCTCCATAGAGAAACCGCCCTTCTAAGACCGATATCGATCGAATTCACCTGGTGCTCGTCAAAAATCTCCATCGCGTAGTGGACGTAACCGCTGTCGCCGAACTCCACTCTCCCGGTGATTATGTGCATTGGGAACGAAAACAACGAACCCACATCGCACACAATCACAACCACGGACTGGACGAAATTCGCCGAGCACATCAAAGGTAACTTTGGTGAGTTGATACGAATTTTCAAAGCACCGAGTAAATCGAGAAAGCAACTCTGGACTACGAGAACCGTATCCGAACCTCATCGACGCAGTCGCAGTTCGATGCCCTGCGTGGCCATTCAAACGGCCCACCTTAGCCCAGAGTTCAGCGTTCGTAAGATTGAGCAGTAAAAACAAAAACTCGAAACCTTGAACAACGAGGACCAATCAACCAGGAAAATGGCCAAAGCGCCGAGAAGCGTCAAGAGGCCACTCCCACCGATTCACAGCGCGAACAACGGTATCTTTTTCACAGATGAGAACAAATCTACCGCGACGCAGACGACGAGCACATGGACCTCGTCGAAGAAACTGTAGTAAATCTTCGAGAGGAAGAACCAAATGACGACGCACTCATCTGGAAAACCA